AGGGACTCGTTCCCAGCCGAGTCTTGGAATCAGATGCCTTCGTTCACATCACACCAAGAGAAACAATAGACAAAAGGTTACCTGTGCTGGAAGGACAAGCAGTCTTCAGAGAAGCCCCCTCAGTGGCCTTCCTCCCGGCCCTGGATGCCTTCATATCAGGCACCGCTGACGCGGCTGGTGCCACCCACGTGCAAAGTAGGTTCACGCACACACATAACATCATGTCACACCCCCCACCACCACCACCAAGTATCCTTTGAGATGAACAGAGAGGAAAAACTCAGGATTGGGCACAACTAAGTGTCTTGCCTCTTGTCACCAACTGAACACACTGGCAGAGCTGGAACTTGACCTAGAGCCTGTCTGGACTCCAGGGCCTGGAGGCCCCTGCCAAAGCCCCCGACATGAGAGACCCCACCCCAGGCAGCACAGTGTCCTGGGTTGGAGCCTTGGACAGACAGAGGTCTTTGTGGCCACTGCTCGCCTCTTTTCTTCCCTCTTTAACCAAACGGAACAGGCTTCAGGGTCAGGTTCTTGGTGAAGTTGAATCACCCGATTGGGTTATGTGTGTTTTTAGTTCTTTTCTACCTGTGGCACATTTTCTGGGCTTCTGTATATGGTGGCGATATTAATTTTTCTGTTTGAGCAAATCTTTCTTTTTAAAAAACAGAAATTGACTTCAAGATCCAGCTTGAGTGTGTAAGAGCACAAAAGAGATAAGGGTTCAGCCACACTAGCAACAGAGATTCCAGAATGAAAGAAATTTGGGAAATTGAGTGGAGATAGAGAGCATATTTCCCAAAGAGAAAGCACCCCCCCTCTGGCCTCACACTCCTAGTCACACCCTGACCCAGCTGGGCCTGAACGGGAGGGGGGCAGGGAGCCGGCCATGGGTCTCTAAGCTCTCACCTGGCTTCTCCACGTCTGGCACCCTGCCTGGCACACAAGAGATGCTTAATAAGTATTTGTTAGCTAAATGAAAGCATGGAGAAAGGAATAGGTGGATGAACTTTGGAGCAGCTTCTATCACTAACAGGACGAATGCCAAAGTGCTGTCTGAGATGGAGGGGCTTTTGGAGATCATCCAGGGCAACCCCATGCTGCCCAGATGGGAAACGGTCCCCCTGGAGGGAGAAGGTATTTGTCCAAGTCCTGTAGTCAGTGTTTGGGCAAAGCAGGGCTTCCTGCCTGTCATTATCCTGGTCAGCTCACCAACTTGTCACTTCTGGTATGTGCCCACGTGAATGACCTCAGCCTGGGCATACAGGAAGCCAGCCTCCTGGCACCCAGCATGCATTTGGAAAGCCACCTGCTCAGAAAGCTTCTGCATTACATGAAAGGTTAAGTTGGATCACATTACAGGGGTCCTGCCTCTGGACCCTGACGTTGGCTATTTCCCTTCTTGTCTGGGGCTAATCCTTCTCCTACCATCAAGTACACTCACTGTGGGTATCTCTGGGGCCCCAGAAGTCTCCAGAAGCTGGTTGTGCCACAGAGGCCATGGAGAACAGAATCCCAACATCCACTATCTCAGCCTTGAGTGTCACCTTTTCAATGAGGCCTACCTGACCACCTCCAGCGTCACCAGCACCTCCAATCACCCTTTCCTGCTTTACCTAACGTCCTTTTTCATTTGTTAACCCTATGGTATATTATATGCCTCCATCCACTAGCTTGGAACCTCTGGCAAGGGCCAGGAGCTCTGTATGTTTTGTTCATTGATGTGTGTCAAGCCCCTAGAACAGTCTCTGGCACAGAGTGGACACTCAGCAAATATTTACTGGATGGGTGGATGGACAAATGAAAACTGATATGCTCAGAGGACTTGCATTTAGTCCCAGATCTGTGGCTTTCCAGCCATGGGAACTCAGGCAAGTTCTGTGGTCCACCCAAGCCTCGGTTTTCTCATCAGTAGAGTGGAATGATCTCACCGACTCGAAGGGTTGTGGGCCGGCAGGCAGGGGACAGAGCCTCTGTGGTGCCAGTTCCGTGGGAGGCAGGTAGTAAGTGTTGCTTACTTCAAAGGCAAAATCCATTTACTTGTTTATTTGTTCATGAGGTCAGTCCACAACACGTGGCCTGTGAAGGCTTCTTAGAAGAGGTTGGAGTCCATCTTTTCTGGAAGCAGGAGTAACACTCTGAAAGGAGCTCATGGGAGTGCTGGAGGATGGGGAACGAGGAGAGCGTCTGGGCAGGGCAGGGTGGAAGGGTGTGAGCAAGTGCAATGCAGAGGGTGCACTTGGAAGAACCACGGGAGGGGGTTGGTGTGTCTAGAGCAAAGGTGACTGCTGTGGTCATCTTTCTTTGCAGCAAACACACGCTGAGCATGTTCTCCGTGGCCTGGCCTGGGGATTGGGGTTCGGAATGCCCAGTCTGCAGCCAGAGGGACACTTACCACACACGAGTGTGCCTGAATCACATGGGATGTTACACTCCAGTGTAACACCAGTGACAGCTCACCATAGTTCTTTGGTTAAGGACTAGCATTTTCCCTGTGACCCCTGATACCCCAGTCTACCTCTCCAGCCTCACCGCCCACCTCCCCCTGACTTATTTTGTTGTGCTGGCAGCATTAATATCATTTTAGCTTCTTGTCCCTGCCAACTTCCCACCCCAGGGCCTTTGCACAGGCTGTCCCCCCTGCTGGGTAGTCTCCCTGGCTACCACTCCAAGCTTCTCCCCTCTTCTTTTTTCCCCCATGAAGAATTTTATTTCTGTAGCGCAGAATGAATGTATGGCTGTGAAGGTAGGAAATCATATAAGAAATATTCAAGAGGCACACTGGTCATTTTTAGAATAAAGTTGGTTAAAGGGAAGATCAATAAAGTACTAGAGCTTGTGAAAGACCAATCAGCATTTTCTAGATTGCTGACCACACTGGGACAAACATACTTGTGTGCAGGTTTAATTAATAGTGATAGTTCAAGAACAGACAAGCTCCCAGCATTCGGAGCTCTCTCAGCCTGGTTGGAGCCCCCATTCCATACCCTCGAAGGCCCCCACGGCTGTCTCTCTCTTTTTTTTTAAAGAAAAGATTTTATTTATTTATTAGAGACAGAGAGGGGGGGGCGCAGAGACACACACAGGCAGAGGGAGAAGCAGGCTCCATGCAGGGAGCTCAACGTGGGGCTCGATCCTAGGTCTCCAGGATCACACCCTGGGCTGAAGACGGCGCTAAACCTCTGAGCCACACGGGCTGCCCCATGGCTGTCTCTCATCATGCTCACTGGGGCTCATGATCAGAAAAGCATGGGCGTGTCTATGCGACTCGCAGCTGTATCTCCCACTAGATGTGGGTGTCCTGAAGGCAGGGGCCAGATCTGTTTGGACCAGCAGCCTGTGCACGGATTGCTGCCCCATAAGTCATTGTTTAATGCAGGATTGATTGCAGCCCACGTGGGGGTCGAGGGGAAATTCAGACCCAGGAGCCGTGGAGGTGAGTGCTTTGTTGGAGGGCTGCTTGGAAGATGCCAGAAAGGTAGAGAAGACCTCATGAAGATGTCATAATGGACTGGCTGTTAAAGGATGAGCAGGGGCTCATTAGCAGGATGAGAGCATTCCCAGGAGAGGGGATAGCACAGGCAAGCACCTGGAGCATCATTTTGTTAGAGAAGACCCGGTCATGTCCGAGGCCTGAGTGAGGGCAGAAGAAGACGGAGACAGTAGCTCTCTGCTGAGTGCCTGCTCCGTGCGTGCCCGGCTCTGCACTCTACCGTGCAGAGCTGCTCGGCACCGTGAGGTGGATAGCATTATCTCCTTTACTAAATGAGGTTCAGTGACTTGTCCAAGCCACCAAGCTACTAAGTGGCTTACCTGGCCATCCCATGTCCCCAGTGGATAATGCTGCACATCTGAGCCAACCACTGAGGCTTCCCGTGTGTTCTGGTGTCTTCCCGCCCCCCTCAGGATGGTGCAAGGTCTCAACCTTCTCTGTGTCCCGCCCTCTCAAAGAGGGGTGCTTGCTCTGGTGCTCCCCCATCCGAGCCCTTACACACTGTAAACTAGCCTTCTCTGCCAGCCTGTGTGGGGACAGGGTCTCCAGGTCCCTGGGGGGGTGTGTGTGCCCAGGATGGAAGAGGGGTTACTCTTACTTACTTACTGAATAAGGGGGTGGGGGGCAGCTCTCTCAACTAGCCAGGCCTCCAAGTCCACGTGGAGCCCCTCCCTCCCCTAACCCAGAAGACAAGTGTTTGTGGCCTGTGGCTAACCACGAGGCCATAGGAAAGTCACTTCATTTGCTCTGCATACGGACCGGTCGTGTGGATGTCCATCCTGGCCGGCCACAGGGGAGCTGTGACCAGAACGCAAAATGCAGGGTATGCTGTGAATTGCCAGGCACACCCGGGGGTGACAGCTGATGCTGGCTCAGGCTCAGCAGGGCCACACCAGTCCGGATCCCCACCTCTCAAACACGTTGGGCAGCGGCAGTCCCCCCGCAGCTGCTGGAAACGAGGGCTCCCCTTGCCATAATCTAGGTGCCCCCTAGTGGCCCTGGGCAGACCCTGCAGGGACACGGGTGGTTCTAGGGCAGATGCACAGACCCCATTCACCCCATTCACCCCATTCACCCTTGAGTTGAGCTTGCTAGCACGTTCAAACCCCAGGCTCTTCTTTTGCAAGCGAATCCTTAGCTGCAGCTGCTCCAGGATCCATCCCTCTAAGGCCGGGCCAGCCCCACCTCAGCTTTGCCACCTCACTGGATGCCTGGAGAGCCCACAACTCCCATGCAGATCCTGCGGGAGACCTAACTTATCAAAGACCCAAGGCTCCTTAGCTCACCAAACAGAACTAGCTTTTCTACAGCCGGATGCATGTTTTCTCAGAGCCCCAGAGGGGCGGATCACTGACTTCCTTCCAGGAATACAGATCTAGAGGCTCAGAGGAGGCATGTGGCTTTCCCAAAGATACTTTGTTACAAAGATTCGAACCCAGGTCTCTCTCTCTTTCCAAAGCCCAGGCACTTGCCTTGTCTCATAGCTTCCCCAAATTATTCACCAACAGCAGAACTAAGGGTGTATTTATTAAATCACAAACCCCGTCTGCCTCTCCGAGGAGGGGAGATCACAGGCAGCCAAGTGGGTGGGGGTAGGGCATCTAAGCCCAAGGATGCTGGACCAGGCAGGGAGGGAGCTGAGGGAGGATGGGGGGGACACAGAAGCCCCCAGGGCCAGTGGTGCTGCCTGTTTGGACAGTGGCCTGGGGAGCTCATGAAGGCATGGGATTAGATTAGAAGGTCCTGGGATCCCAATCTCAGGCAGGTGAGACATTTTCAGCCCCAGGCTGCCGCTGGGGTCTGCAGCCAGCTGGAACTCCCCCTTATTTCCCAGTAGGATTCACAATCTTTCCCAAGAAGATTATGGTGGACACAACATCATCCTTAATAAACACCAGAAACGGTTTGTTCAACTTGATGGGCAGCGGCGTCTGCATGGGCAGCGTCTGGGCTCCGGAGCCGGCTGCGCCCTCTGTGCCCTTCTCATCCATCTTCAGCACCGCCTTGTGCACCGCCTGTGGGAATTGGGAACGAGGTCAGGGCCACCAAGCCAGTCTGGGCCAAGGACACGAGAGGCCCCGGGAAGGAGAGGCTGCAGCCAGGGTGGCCCAGCACAGCAGTGATGTGACTTGGTGCCAGCCACCCTGGGGCTCCTCGCTCTTCTGCTGTCACTGCTGGAAGGATGCAGGACAAGCGGAGCTGGCAAGAAGGGAATAATGAGGCTGGGGGAGCAGCAGTGGCAGTGGGGAGGACGGGGTGGGGTTCGCTGTCCTTCTGAGAATTACAGGGAAGTGCTGAGCAGTGTAAGGGCAGAAAGAAGTCTGTGGAACCTTAGCTAGATGGAAAGGGGGTGATGGCATTTGAGCTAAGAAGCCTCCAGGCCTGCCCACCCTCCTCTCAGCTTCCTGGGGGACAGACGGTGAGGAAGGAGCCAGATTTGGGGTGAGGAGGGGTCAGAAACAACTGAGACCCCAGATACACCCCAGAGCACCCCCATCTGTGCTGCGGTGATCCACCCTGGGACACAGCTGGGCTTCTGCACATATTGACGCATTTCATTCCATTCTACAACATCCTAACAATTTTACTAGTGGGCCAGCCCATAGCCATTGTTGGCACAAGGAATCACAGCCACGGGCACACCTAACTGCGGAAGGGAAGCGAGGCGTGGAACTGAATAAAGGCCCACAGGAGAGGGGCAGCTGGCACTGACTCTTCTTGATGGGAAGTCTATGGCAGGAGAACCTAAGAGCAAGAAAGTTCTATTAACTGTCTTCCTTCCTCTTGCAAACTAGAAAAGAAATCCTAATCAGTGCCTAGTATCAGCTCAGCTTGGCAGCTAGGATCTCTCCCAGATTGGATTGGTCCGAGCTTCCTACTTAGCATCCACCCCCATCCCCACTGGCTGGGTCGCCAAGCTCTCCTGCAGTCCAGCCTTTGGCTCAGCTGCTCCTACTACTGGAAGATGGTCTCCACCCCCAATGCCCAATGCCCTTAAAAGTAGGGTTGCCAGGTAAAATACAGGATGGACAGCTAAATTTGAATTTCAGATAAATGCTGAATATTTTTAGCATAAGTGTATCCCATGCAATATTTTGGACTAAAGAAATTATTCATCACTTACCTGAAGTTTGAATTTAACTGGGTGTCCTGTATTATACCTGCTACACCTGGGGGGCCTACCCCACATGGTCCTCTGTGCACCCCAGCAGGCAGGTGTTCAGCCTGGCTAGAAACCACAGGGCCCTTGGCTTGCTCATCTCTTGCTCATGTAGAGCATGTTTGCAATTTACTGTGAGGTCTTTAGAAGAGGCTCTGGGTCAAACCTAGACTGGTTCTCAGCCTGATAAATGTTCCAGGCTTGATCACTTGTTTGTTGCATAGAATCGACCTCCAAACAAGCACCAGGAGCTTGATAGTTCCAACTTTAAAGCCTAGAAATGGGAAGGTTGGGGAGCTTCTGTGATTCTCCCAGGATGACAAGGCTGGTTAGGGACAGAGCTGGATTGGGGCCCGGCCTGACTGGTGGTGAGACAAGACTCATTCAGCTGCTGTGACAGGGTCTCTGGCCCAGGGCTGTGCAAAGGCTTCTTGTGGGAAGGGTGGGCATCCAGGCGAGGCAGGCTTACCTCTCCCACTTTCAGGCTTCGATGAGGGGAGATCCGGGTGAGATCACCATGCTCCTCAAAGATTTTGGTGATACCCAGGTAGGAGAGTGTCCTCTTCAGATCATAGTTACCAGTGATGGAGAACCTGGGCAAGGACACATCTACGACCCTGGGGACATGGGAGTAACAAGTGAGTGGCAGGGTCTTCTTGCTTTCCCCAGCAGGCCGCAGGGTTGGTGATAAATGAGACATCGGTCTTCCCAGCCCTGGAGGTCTTAGACCCTTTGTCCCCAGACCGAGGAGGGACTCTGACCCTGGGACCCTGGCTTCAAACACCTACGCTCTCTGAACTGTGGGCCTTCTTCCTAGCAAACCTGCCCCAGAGCCCTCGCCCACAGAAATGGTCTCAAGTCCCACTGTTTCAGGGCCCCTTTGGTGGCAGAGACGAAGGTGTCGTTCCCCTGAGAGTCCCAGCTTTGCCCAAGCCCCGAGCCAGTCCTGGTCCAGCAGACTGGATGCCAGAGGTGGCAAGGGCCTGGGGACTGAGGCCAAGCAGACCTGAGCTCAGATCCGTTCTGACTCTCACGGGCTCCATGACTTGGAGCAAATGATCTCACCTCCCTAAGCCACTTGGGCGAAATGACAGTGCTCATCACAGCAGGCAGGGGGCAGTAAGAGCGTAAAGCAACTGGGCTTGGGTGCTCCCAGTCCCTGGCCAGCAGGTGCTCCTCCTTCCACACACACACACACACACACACACACACACACACACACACACACACACACACACACCCCGTTAGGGCCTCAGGTGCTCTGGGGGTGGGACCCAATTGGCGCCCCCTGCCTGGGCCTGGCCGTGGGTTCCTGTCCCCTGGCCCTGAGCCCTGTCCCTTCTTGCCTACCTAGGACCTCATTCCTGCCTGCATCCCTCTGTGTTCCACACCATCCATCAGGAACGGTGTCTGCTTCATCATCCTCGGGAACACACCGTGTTCTCCGATAACCACGATCCTACACGACAGAAGCAAACACACCTCCACCGGCCCCGAGTCGCCTCCCCAGCTGCCGGGTCATTCCTTTTCTTCCTTTCATAGCAGAAAGGAGTTGTCTCTGCCAGGGAGCTCCACTTCCACCCCCTACAGCCTCAGCCCACTCCACTTGGGCCCTTGCCCTCAACATTCCACTTCCCGGGGTTCCTGCTGACCTCAGCTTGCTTGACCCAAAAGACCGCTCTCGGAGAGCAGATCCCCCGCTCACCTTTTGCCGGCACCACCTAGTCGCCCACCTGTACTGTCTGTGATGCTCCAAGCCTCACCCTTCAGTCCTCTTCTCTTCTATCTTTCCTCCCTCCAGAGGGACCTCATTTAGTGTCATGGCTTTAAGTACCGGCCACAGGCCCAATGACTTACCTTTCCATTCATTCATTTGCTCAACAAATGGAGTGCCTCCTGTATACACATCAGATGCTTAGATGCATGTGTTAAACAGAAGAGGCAAAACCCTTGAGTGTGAAGGAAGAGAGACACGAAAGTCCACACGATGAAAAGCCGCCCACGAGCATCGATGCATATAGACTGGGAGTCTGTGTATAAGAAGCCAGTGCGTGCAAGGGAGTAAAATACAGATCACTTTGGAGGAATCAGTAATGCTGGGGCACTGGGAAGATTTGAGAAACTTTGAAGGAGGCAAAGGCATCAGGCAAGCTGGATCATTTTTTTCCTGAGTGAAGTGGGGAACCACAGTAGGGTTTTTGAGTGACATGCTCTTGCTTAGGGCTGAAAATGGTTATTTGTCTGCAGTGTGAAAAATATACTCTTGGTGGTAGGGAGTGGGGGGCACCAGAGTGGGTGCCAGGAGGCCACTGGGAAGTGGTTGCAGTCCCAATGTGGTAGGGGGAGGCAGGACAGGAGCTGTAGAAGAGCCCAGAAGAGCAGCCTGTACTCCCTGCACAGAAAGTTGCATCTGTGCTCCATAGTATCCTTGGGCCTCTGCGAAGAACTTTGGTTCTGTGAAACCCAAACCTACAGTAAGGCCTGTGCTGGCCTACTGGAAATCTCAAAGGGCCCATCTCACACTTGCAGGGGGCACAGGGAGGAGTGTGGATCCCCGTCCTGAAGCCACAGAGATTGCAACAGTCTTCTGGGAACATCTGCATGCAGTTTAGAGCTAGTCTGCTGGTAGGCTTGACCCCATGGGAAATTGGCAGGATTAACTTGGAGATGAGGATGCTGGGACCCCCTAATCATATTGCAGGCTCTCAAATCATCATAATTTGAATACTAAAGGAAATGCGACCTTCTGGATCCCATGTTGCATGAAGCCAGGACTTCTGGATAAAGCAGGGGTGGTGGGCATGGAGCCCACTTTTCCTTCACCTTCTATATCCCTCACTCCCCAAGACACTTTTGTGGACTCAGAATCTGTAGGGCACAGGTTAGAAACTGCCAGTCCCCTTGGTGGGGTCCCTGTGTTAAGAAGGATGTGCCTTTATCTTCAACCAACAGGCCACCATCCTGGAGGTCCACCTAGTAGGGAGGAGGACCAGATCTGCAGGACACCCATCACTCAAGGAACCTGAGGTCTAGATGATCTTTTAAGAACCTTGGAGTCCTGCCTCTTATAAGGGGAAGGACAGACAACCTCCCATTTGTACATACCCTCGGTGGGGTCATGCTCTGCTAAGGCACATTTATTTGATCCTCTCAAGAGTCCTATGAGGCCAGCATTAGGGGGCCATGTCATAGAGGAGAACACTGGGTCTCAGCTAAGGTTGGAACCCAGATGCTTCCTCCTATTTCAGGGGCCAGACTTTGCCTCCCCCCACCACTGCAGGCCCTGTTTTTCAGCAGGGAGGATCAGGGGGTGCTGTGCAGACCCCAAGCATAGCAGTCCTCTTGGGATGACCTACCATTTAGCCTGCTTCTTCTTCCCATCCCCCCAATATAGTGACTTTATCTGAAGCATTCAGAACTGGAATTCCTCTTTTATGGGGCTTGCAGCTCAATTTAGATATCCAAGATATGTTCTGCCCACTGCTGAGGGTGTGTTTCATGTGAAAGAGCACCCACAGCAGCCCCAGCTCCATTCTAGCCTCGTATCTACCTCCCCTAGAACCCTCCTCAGCTCCCGACAGTGTGTCAGCCACGCTGTCAGGAAAGACTCTTCAAGTGGAGAACAATGGTGGGGGCAAGGGAGAAGGGACAGTGCTCAGAGCAGGGAGGTGACCATCCAGACACCTTTCCTCCCCAAGTCTACACTGCCAAGTCCCCAGCCCTGACCCTTCTTGAGAAAATCTACTGGTAAGCAAATGCCTGAGAAGAATTTTGTAGGCTCATCTTACATCTAATTTTATGGGGTTTTAAAAAAATATTTACTCACTTTGGTCCTTCAACTATTATTAATATAACTTATTTGTGACACATTTCACTGGTTTTGTTATGACAGTACAGTTAAAAACATGACTCTGTACAATACACAGCTCCCTTTGACAGCCTGTGTTTGTCCTTGACGTTTCTCTCTGCCTAGGATTCCATCATTCCTCTTCTATCCATGCATGCCACGGTTCAGCCTTAAAGACTTAGCTCCAAGCCACTGGCTCTGTGGAGGCCCCTCCACCACCACTGCCTGCCGTGGTTTTACTCTGTCCACTCCACTCCCGTGATAAATGCATCTCCCTCTAAGAGAAAGTGTTTCACTATATTCCTATGACTTCTTTTCTGGTCTACTTCCTACCAAAATACAAATTCACCACGGATCCCAGAATAGGACTTGGCCAGGGGGTATGAGCTCAATAAATCTGGGCTAGAAGAAGCAAAGAGTGGAAGGGAAGGCAGGAAGAAGGAAGCAGCCACATGTGCCAGGCACCCTCGTACCTTCGAGTGATTAATTTTTTCCATCTGTCAAAAGTGTCTGCCTTCAAGGCCTCCTCCACAGTCTTCATTTTGCCCTCATCAGGAAGGATGAAGGTGGCAGAGATGGTGCCCTGGTAGGGCATTTCCAGAATAGTGCAGGAGAGCTGTTCATCATAACCAGTCTCATACATGCCCCCACGGAACATCATGGGCACCTTCACTCGCTGGTTTCCATCCAAAAAGAAGTCTTCCTCTTTAGTTATTTTTGGATCAAATTCGTGTTGCCACCTGGCTTAAGATTGGAGGACAAAGTGGCATGAGTGTCCTGAAAGGAAAGAGGTTACTGGACCCAGATAACTACTGGTCTCTGTCCACATGGATTCAAGGAGGGGGTTTGGATACTCTGAGATGTCAGGGCAGGTCTCCAGGAGTCCTTGTCTTTGTGCCATGCTCTGAAAACTCCTGGTAAGATGGGGATGAGTCTGATTGTTCCCAAAGAAGCCACAACCAGAACTGCTGAGCTGAGAGGGAACCTGTGGACCACCTGAAGCCCAGATGCTCCTGAGGATTGTGTCCCAGCAGAGGGGCCTGGGTTATACTTAGTGGGAGCTGTTTGGGTCTGATGTGAGTGTAAATACCCTATTCCATCAGTCCCAGAGTAGCTGTTCTCATGTAGGAATGAGAAAACTGATGGAACGGGCTGTTTTTGAGAACCTGCTGAAGAGCAGCGAACACTCAAAGTTGGGTGTTTGGACCCCTCCTCTTTGATCGTGGGAACTCTTTGATGCCATTAGGCATAAACTTGGACCCGGGCTTTTTCACACCTGCTAACCTCAGAGTCCCCCATAGGGGCCCCTGAGGACCAAGTCCCTGAGGTCAACTCTGGCTTCATTGTTCTGGAAGGATGGCCTTAGACGAGTGTCTTAGCCCCTCTAGGCTTCAGCGTCCTTGTCAGAAGAAGGAAGATTTTGACAGGTACCTCATAGAGCTGCTGTGTGACTGAGTGGGAAAGGCAGCACAGCTCAGTGATCTCATACAGTGAGTGTTGAGTGGATGCTAGTCATCGTCAGCATCACTGTTGCCATTGCTTTTATAATCTAGGTGACGTGGGGACTTTAGAAAACTCCAGATCTCCTCTCTACCATTGCTTTTTTCCTCTACGCCATAGTCTCACTGTGCATTTCAGGAAAGCTGAACTTCCATATTCAGAACCATGTCTCTGACAGCCCCCCAGTGATCTTGCCTGACCTAGGGCTGTTGGCCTCTGCTTCTTAGCCATTCTGGCCAAACTTTGTGTGTGCATGTGGCATGTGAGTGCTGTGTGTGTGTGGTATGTGTGTGTGGGGGGGGTGGTGGTAGGGATGAAGCTTGGATTTGGGAATGTTTTTCCATCTTATTTTTTGGTCTCTTACCCTCAGATTTGGGGAATTTACAAAATATGACAAGGAAACAGAGGCACATCATCACCACCATCAACACCGTCACCATCCTGAGTGTCTACTTGGAGTAACATAAAGTGCACAGCCTGTGGGTCAAGAGAAGTGAGTTCTAGTCCTGACTCTGATTCACTGGCTTTGTAACTCAAAGTCCATTCATCCCTTTCCACATTACACTTTCTTTATCTAAGAAATGGGGAAAAGGATGCCACTCCAACCTCTATGACCAACATTGTGTTAGGATAATCAGTAATAATGAAAATGCACATATGGAGAATGATGTAGACTTCCCCAAATTTATTTCTCATGCATTTTTACTTTGAGTCCCAATAACTGCCCAATGAGTTATATATAAAGGCACTCATTTTGCAGGTAGAACAAATGGGATTCTGATGGATTAATTATTATGAATTCAAAATCGCAGAGCAAGCACGTGGCCAACCAGATCTTTAATCCAAATCTACTGGAAATTTTATCCTTCCCAACATGCTCCAAGCCTTACCTCGAAAGAAAATACAATTTGTAAGAAGCATCACAGTGCCAGGGTCTATATTCTTGATCAGGTTGTTGATTTTCCCCTGGGTTTTCTGACTGACATAGTCATTGATCTGCTTCCGAGTATCTCCTAAATTCTGGAAGTTGGTGGGGACAGTGTCTGCACTGTACAGGTTCTTGACATTTGTCAGAAACTTCTTCTCTGGCTGCAACTTCTGGTCGATAAACAAGGTGTTTCCAAGGTGTAGTTCGAGGTCCTGGCTGCCCTGGTTCATCCTGTAGATGAGGTAATGAAAGCCCTCATGAATGTCTCTCTCTGGCATATTCCTGAAATTGAAGCCCTGCTTGATCTCATCCAGGGTGGAGTCCTGGGAACCCAGAGACAGCATGGAGAAGGCTGCAGAGATGCTCAAGGGGGAAAAGAAGATGTTCTTTCTGGGGCTATTGGAAGCCAGCTTCCTATAAAGCTTGCAGCCGAAGTCTGTGTTCCGCTTTGTGAGCTCCTCGGCTGCCTTCATTCCCTTCCATGACTGGATTTGGCTCTTGGGTCCACGATACTTCGCGGGGGACTTGGAATTCAGAAGACCTTCCACAGTGAGAAGGCCAGCAAAAAGTAGGCCCAGGCCCAGCATGGGGTTCATTTTCCTTGGAGATTGTCCTGTTGAGTAGTAGACTTGAGATTAGCAGAAAAAAAAAAAAGAACAAAACAACCCCATTGTCACTACACTATATTACCCACAAGGAAGACCATATTAAAGAAGCAATACTGTCACTAGCATGTGATTTACATGGTGGTTTATAAATGCTTTCACATCCATTTTGGCATTTATGCTTTGCAATCACCCCAGAGAACTAGAAATGGTTGTCCCCATTTCATCAATGAGAAAGCTGAGTGTAGAAGACAGTTCTTGATTTTGTACTCTTCTCCCTCAAATTATAGTAATGGTATCTCAATTCCTTTGAGGAACTGCTTCCTCCACTCCATTGGAGCCTGGTAAGAATATCCCCGCAGTGTGAGCGTGTGACCAGGTCTAGGCCATCAGAATACTGCATCCACTGCCATGCTGATTGGTTAAGGAATGCAAGTGACCAGAATCAGATCAGTCAGCATCCTTCCCTGAGAATGCACAGGACTCTTAATTCTAAGGTGTCCGGCTTGGTGATATAGTTCCAGAACCAAATGTGGCTATGGTTGCCATAAATAGAAGGACAGAAAAGAGAGAAATATTGAAAGAGAGAAATGGGGAGATGTACTTGGTGACATCTTTGGAGTCCCTGGATCAAGCTTTACCTGAAGTTCACACACTTCTGGTTTCTCCAAGGTAGAAGGGCCAATACATTTCCCTTTTAGGATTGGCTGGTTTAAGTTGGATTTTTTTTCCCTTATAATCAAAAGAATCCTGACTAATTGGCAGAAATAAAGCCCTTTGTCTAAGATCACATGGTCAGTGATGGATACCCATCCCAGGAGAACCCAGGTCTCTAAGAAACTTCTTTCCCTGCACCTTTTCCAGGAAAAGAGACAGTGTTATAGAGAGGAAAAGTCACATCTGCCTGGCTCCAGGACAGGTGCCCCTTTTGCCACTTCTCAGCTCAGCATCTCCCGACAAGATTGAGTTTTGGGGGGACAAAAGTTTCATTTTCTGTTTTACCTTCATTCCTAGCCCCAAGGCTACAGAGAGCTGCCAAAAAGGTTGATATTCCAAGCAAGGATGAGGTCCCATGTAATATGGAGACTTGGCTTGCTTCACAGGAGACGGCTCTAGAGCATCAACCACATGCAACATCCACCCTGAGAGGGGAGGGGCAGGGCTTTGGGCCAGCTGTCAGTGGCTAGTCTGCCTCCAGGAGGCAGGGCCTGTGGTAGAACTTCTAGGGTCCCTTGGCTCCAACACACCAGAGGCAGTCTTCTGGATTGGGGACAGAAGCTGCGAGCTGTTAGCAACTAACCCTCACAGCACCGCCCACCAAGGGGAACTGGACCTGGCACCAGCAAGGTCCACGCAGCTAAATCCCTGGTGCCCGGGCACTGAGTAGGCTCTTTCCAGTTGACCAAATGAATGATGAATGAACACCTGCATAGAACCTGCACTGGGAGTGCCCCGAATCGCCAAGTTCTTTGTTCCCTCAAACCTTCCACTCCGGGTCTTGTGGACACAACCCTCAGCCCAGCACACAGGGTCTTCAGAGAGGCTCTGACCCAATGTTTGAAAACTTTAGTGGATCCTACTCATTGTTTCCATCTTCTAATGGAACTTTATTTTTCTAGGTGTCTCCCCCTCCTTAGACAGCCCATGTGCCTCAGGGGCAGGGCCCCATCCCCAGCTCCAAAGGGGCCTTGACTTGGGGTGACTCAGAAGTTGAGCCCAATCCAACCAGGTCACATGACTGATTGAGGCTCTGCCCTAGTAGCTGTTCTGGGAGGGGCACATGACTTAAGTGAGGCAATGAAGGTGATGGCATATTGGGGTGCCGCCCTCTCTCTTTCTCTGGATGTCCTGGGCAGGAAGGTGTGTATGCATGCAGGGCTTTGCAGAGAAGTCAGAGCTGGAGCCACAGATTAGGCAAACTTGGAGCCCATCCTGCCTGTAGACTTCCAACTGTGCTGGTGTGAGTTACGTAGTCAACCACCCAAGGCCAAAAGCATCCTACCAAATACAGGTGTGTATAAAAAAATTCTAGGACTACCAAGCAGTGAGGACTCCAGACTTTGATCTCATGCCTTTCTGCTGTGTGACATTTGAAAAGGATGCCTCCTCTCTGAGCTTCGGTGATCTCTCAGCACCTTTCACTCCTTCTGACATGCATTTTAGTAAAAGTTAAACACAGCTGGTGGTGGACAAGGGTTCTAGGGACTGTCTGAAGACGGTTATAGAAGGCAAGATTTGTAAAACCCCTGAGGATGTTTCAGATGAAGGAAAGAAAGTTTAAAGTAGAAAGGATTCAATCTCTCAGGTTAGTGAACTGGACTGTTTACAGAGTCGGCCTGGTTTAAAAATAGAAGCTGCACCTGTTGGGATGAGCACTGGGTGTTGTACGGAAGTGATGAATCACTAAATTCCACTCCTGAAACCAACATCACACGGTATGTTAGCTAGCTAGAATTTAAATAAAAATTCGGAAAAAAGAAAAGAAATAAAAATAGAAGCTTTTTGCATTCCAGAGTAGATCACTGCCTGCATGGGCACTATTTCCCAACGCCCAGGAGTGCAGAAGTTAGCCACCTCAGCCAAGGAATGGGGAGAACATTCTCAGCAGTAGGTTCACCACCAGTCAGGTGAGATGGAAAGTCTTTGGGCAATCTGCTGGGAGCCGAGTCTTGGTCTGGGTATAGAGCCAGAACCTAGAGCAGAGGAGGGAAGCTTCTGGAAGCTTCTGGCACAGATGGTGAGCACACACATACCCCCACACACTTTTAGAGTGATGATGGGTGAGGGGAGTGATACTTTGGCTTTCTCCCCACTAGATGTTGCTAATCACCTCACTTCCCCTGGCTGTGGAGACACCGACCACACCCTGGCTGGGGCTCAGCTTCCCCCACCTCCATGAACCTGTGTCATGGTGGTCCCCACCAGCCCCTGGCCCTGCCCCACGGAGTCCCAACAACCCAGGCTTTCTTCCCCCAAAACAACCCACACTGGCCCCATTTCTGGGCTTCTCCAGCTGTCATCACAGGCTCCAAACTTGATTCAAACTTGTCAGATGGGTACCAGTCCCAGATGCCTGAGGAGGCTAACTTTTATTCCATTCATTAAAACAGCTGAGCAACTGGTTGTTTCCCAATAAATTGATAGGCTGCCCATGTTGAGCAACTCTTTGTTGGTTATTAGTTTGGAGTGTGTGTGTGTGTGTGTGTGTGTGTGTGTGTGGTTGTCATCCTAATAAAATAAATAAACACAATCAGGAAGAAAAGGAACAAGATAGGACCTGAACATGGTAGAGGTCACATGGGGCAGATAAATCTACCATCAGTATTGTAACTCCTCTCTGACTCTCCTGCTCCCACATTCCCTTTTAACTTGAGAAAACAATCCCTTTTTCTTATGAAAAGATGCAATAGTATGGCCCTGACTCGGGAGTCATGCCTCCTGAAGACAGACCCAAGGCAGGTGAGGAGCCCTCTGAGGGACCGAGGAGCACAGGTGTCCACCATCTGCATGTGTAGAGGGGGTCCCTGGGGAGGGGGGCTCTCCTTTGCCCCTCACACCATCCTGATGAGCTTAGTAACTGGAATCAGCTAATCAAATAGACTCAGGAGTGGGGAGAGTGGGATAGGATAGCATGTTCAACAAAAATGTCCTTTTATACTTCCTATCATTGGTGGTTTGGGAAGACGAAATGCAGCACCAAACAGAGCAGGAGCAAGAATCAGAACTACTCAGTGCAGAGTGGTTTGGGCTATTTGTTACTGCCCAGTTCCTGCAGTGTCCGACCTCAAGCAGGTGAGACTATAAAGTGTAGGGTGCTTTGGACAAATGGCCCTCCCCACGGGCTTGCACCCTAAGGAGTGACTGCCAGCAGGGCAACCACAGCGCCTCCTTCTCAGTGAGAAGCCTCATCTTGCACAGGCTGGACAGAAGTGTCCTGTCCTGCCCCAAGGAACCCCAGGCCCTCTGAGACCCGTTTCCTTCCAGTTCTTTCCAGAAGTCTCCAACAGAGGGCATGGTACTTGTATAAACTCAATGCCCTTCCCTCAGAGGGCATCTAGGGTGTGAGGGACCCTTCCTAAAGATGTGCCTTGGCATCCCAGAAGACCAGCCCCAAAGCCCCGGGTTTGAGGATGCATCCCAGCTCTGCTCTGGGGCCCACCCATTTTAAGGGATGATATCATTTTAAGGGGAGATGGCTTTAAACATATTAGATGCTATTTTGGGAAGCAAGTTGAGAACTAGGTGGTGGTGAGATATAGCCTTCCTCCCCTGCTGGACGAGAGAGACCTGTGAAATCTAGTGAGTATGGTGGTAGACTCTGGCTTCCTTCCTGGGCAACAAAGAGGGTGGAACATAAGTTCATCATCTCAGCCCAAATTTGCCCTGGAGATTTCTGCCTTCATTCTTTTAAGAGCTATCTTGAGCCTTCACTCTGTACCAGACACAGGGGCGCCGGTGCAATGCCCTCCCCTAGCCTTCCCTGGAGCCCAGACATGGAGCTCTCTGTCCTGGGAGGTGATGCCCACAGCCAGCCCCGCAGACTTCTCCAGATCCTAAGCACTTTCCAGCTCTTTGCCTGGCCTCTTCCTCCTGCCCTCAGTGACCTCGTTCCAGGATGAGGGGATACATGAGTTGGAAGGGCTGAGTGACCAGCAAACCTCAGGTCCACTCGTGCCGTACAGGGAGACGGAGACCCAGAGGACAAAGAAGCTAGCTGAGGTCACGACATGCATTCTGATGGATCAGAGTGCAAATCCAACTCATTAAGGCAGTTCTGCAACAGTGTGTGGAACCGGCTGCTGGGCCTGCCTTTCTCCATGAAATCGTGGGTTGGCAGAGACAGCTCCTTTCCTCGGAGAGAGATAAAGATATAGAAACAGCCCACAGACAAGGCTGAGTGTAGCCTGAACCATGGGGCAAGGGCAGACCAGACCTTATCCTGGAACAGTTCCCATTCTCACCCCTATCAAAGTTTTTTGCCTAGGAAAAGCACTGGGCGGGGTGGGGGGTCAACATCCACAAAAATTAATCAGGGCTCCCCAAAATGCCCAGTGCACTTTTCAGGAGAGAGGTTTCCCAGATCCGGAAATCTTCCAGAATTTTCTTTAAGATACCCACCCTGGGACTGCACTCCATCCTCCCACAACCAAAAGCAAACTTTGTATGGAGTATACAAAAAAAAAAAAAAAATACCCAAAGAAACAAATGAAGAGCACTGAGCTTTTTCAAAGAGAAGATATTGTACTCACAGCACATTCAGGAGAAATCCACTGCGCCAGCCAAATGGATCTGCTTTTCTTGCTTTATTATTTATACTTCCATAGCCTCTTGGTAAAGTAGACCGAAGGCCAATAAAATTAGCTGGCCTGAGTGGGCAGGTGATGGGACTCGAGGAGCAGTGGCCACACCACTTCCTCGGGGGCTTCTCCTCAACCCCGGAGGCAGCAGCGCGATATTTAGACCACACCTGCTTGGGCTGTGGCTTTTCTAATGAAGTCCATTTATATCTTTTGCAACGAGCCCATTTCCCAATCTCTGTGGGCCTGGGACCTGGTGTGTTCTACGGATAGATTGTTGTTAAATATTCAACCCAAACATCACCGCTGTCATTGATGGGAAGATGTTGATGACTGGGTTTCTTGGGGTCATTCCCATTAATCCCCATTTGTTTCTTATGCTATTTTTTCAGTACTCTATGTCTATCAGTTGTACTACCTTTGCTCACTTGGAGTCCTTTGGGGGGAAGGGGAACAATGAAACAGGTAGTTTCTGTTGGGGGTAATGGGGAATCACTCACATCAAAGTTTGTGATCCTTCCAGAAAATCGCAAATTGCTTTCCTGCTGTGTGTTGCCCTGGAGGAATGAGCCTGGACGGTTTATCGCCACCTCCTCTGGACTTTCCTGCATTTTCCAAGTTGTCTTTAAGGAAGGGGTATTACCTAGGAATTAATTTTTAGAAGATTTAAAATAAAATGAAATTCTTTCCTTCAAACCCGCTGATCCCAGGATGGAAAAGCCCAATGCACCTGCTTCGTTTTGTTTTGTTTTGTTTTGTTTTGTTTTGTTTTGTTTAGATTTCATTTATTTTGACAGAGAGAGAGAGAGAGAGCACAAGCAGGAGAGGCAGAGGGGCAGAGAGAGAATCTCGAGCGGACTCCATGCTCAGCACGGAGCTGGACTCGGGGCTCGATCTCACAACCCTGAGAGCATGGCCTGAGCTGAAGTCAAGAATCAGATGCTCAAACGACTGATTCACCGCTGTGCCCCTGCACCTGTTTTCAGTTCAGTTTTCTCCAATTAATTCTACTGAGTGGAAAAATCCTGCAGATATTCCTTCCCCACTTTGTGATGATCCGTAATAGGTCTTGTGTGACCACAGTACCAAGAGGTAGGGACAGTGTTTCTCTTCCTCTTTTAGCAGAGGCATGACTCGCATCCCGAAGCTGTACAGAGCAGTTGACCCAGCCAAGCCTTTGGCAATAGAGGGGACACTGGCTCTTCCCCAGGCTTGGGTCAGCCACATCCTGACCCACTCCCACAGCAGACCAACCAGCCCGTGGAGATGTGGTGCCCCAGAGCTGCCAAAATCATGAGGAAGAGCCCCTGCAGGAGGCCATGAGCTGCTTCCTCCCCTCACCCAGGGAGGCGGGCCTGTCTGCTGCAGTGAATCTGGACCAGGTACACGGAGAGACTGGCTGAGGCCAGAGGCCTCACTGCGGGGCTCTGGTCACTGCGAGAACATGGAATGTGGCCATGGCAGCCGGATGGGCTGAGATGAGGGCCGTGGTCCCATCGTGGCGGAGGCCGGGATCCAGCCCATCAGATGCCGACCCAGAATCCGAGTCCGTGCCCTGGTTTGGGAGACAAGAACTCTGCTTGCTAATGACAGGGTGAGACCTGTGTGAGTCTTCGGCCCACGCCCACTGGCCTGCCACAGACACGCTGTGCTCTGGGGCAAATTCCCACGGCAGATGCAGGGGTGAGGCCGGGGAGGGACAACATCGTGGCCAGGTGGGGATGCTTGCCGAGCAATATGGGGCTGCATCGGGGATGCCCGAGCTCAGATGGCGCCCACAGACCAGGAGGCCGCGGTGGAGGGGAGCCACAGGGTGGGGGGCAGACCCTGAATCTCAGGGAACACCTGCCCACTCCCACCAGGGAAATGAGCCATCGGAGTCCTGATCAGCCCAGGTAGCCTTGCAGGGGCAGGTACAGGTGCAGACCAATGGCTGTGGAAGCCCAGCCCCCTCCCAGCACCCATCAAGGGGCCACAGCCTAGACTGGGGACCATCCTGACCACCCATAGATGAGAACACTCGAGGCCCAGGGACTTGGGCCTGGTGTCTATTGAGGGTTAGGAGGGGGGAGATGATTGTCCAGCCTGGGAACACTTCAGCCAGCTGATGGATCAGAGGCAGTGGCCTGCAGCTCCGGCGTGGCCCGGGTACGTTTTTACAGCATGGCCATGTATCAAGGTGAGAGGGGAGCAGGGAGCTTCCGGGTGCACCCTCGCTCTTTGGTTGTCCCAGATGCTGGGCCTCTGAGGGACCTAGTAACATATCCGTGACCGTGCCAGGTCCTGAGTTCCAGGGCACAGGTCTGCTGGGGACACAGGAGGGCCTGGAGATAGAACCAAGCTCGGTAAAGTCTTCTTATTATGCATTATAAAAAGATACATTTTCTGATGGATGTTATGTATTTTTCACATTAATTTTGTAAGTTAGGTGCTGTTAGACCCATTCTACATGTGAGAAAACTGAGGTTCAGTTAGTCAGATGATTAGCAGACCCAAGACTAAGATCTCAGACTTTCTGGTTCCTAATCCCTTGCTCTATCGACAGCTCTGGAAAACCATAAATGAAATCGGTGGCCGCAGTATCTGTACAGCCAGTACTGACCTCCGGGGTCCCTGTCCAGGCCCTGCAGCCAGGCATGGAAAAGGGGACAAAATGCCTGTCGATCTGGATGGCCACCTTGGTCCTTGGTTCTCTTCCCTAAGACACACACACACACACACACACACACACACACACACCTGCACACTCACATGCATGCACACACATGCGTGCATATTTCTCGGATTGGCCTCCCCATCCCCTCCTTTCCCCTTGGTCAATCTTCCTTGGCCTTTCCCAGGTCTTGCTCCTCCCAGGCCGCTGGCCCTCTTCATGTCCTGGTCCTGCGGCCCCCAGCTTTTCATGTAGGGTCCTCTAGACTCCCTAGCCGAACAGCCTCATCTGCAACCTAGGTGGGCTTCTGCCCAGGACCTGCCACACCTGCGTCTATCACCTCCTCCCTCCCTCCTTCCCCACCCCACCCCCAGCCCAGGCTGGCCAGTATGCCCTGCTCGGGTCCCCACGCAGACAGCAACTAGCCTGGGAGTTCCCTTCCTCCCTGCCTAGGAAATCCCAGGCCTGCTTTTCTGCCCCCAGCCCAAATAGCATCCAGCACTTTGAGAGGCCTATTGTGGGCGTTCTGTAGGCCCACTGATGGAGGCCTAGCCAGCTAGGACCTGAGTGTTTGGCACCCAGGCAAGCTCACAGGGAAAGGTGAGGGCACGCTGTCCAGAAATCAGGATGACACACTATTTCAGTCCCTGGTTCCATGGTACTGATCTCTGTAACAACTCTGAATAGAATCATCCACCCCAGATCCCCTCCCTGGGGTGGGAGGGGAGTGGCAAGAGTGCCCTGGCACTGATGTAAAACACCAGCCACCCTGCACAGACAACTACATGTTCCCTGCCTGACTTCTCAGATGAAGGCTGGGTGCAGGCACCTCACCCTGCTCTCCCCCAAGCACAAGGAGGTCTAGAACCCATAGGCCTGGGCCTGTGCTCTGGGCTCCAGACATAGGTGACTTGTAATGTACAGGTGACTGAGGAAGCCATACCTTGTCCTGGATCTCAGTTTACCCACCTGTTCAGTGGGGGAGTATGGGTACATTGGATCTCTGGTTGCCTGAGGAGGCCAACCTCTTGGCAGTCATGCTATGAATCGATTGCACTTGAAATAAACAGACCTTAAATCTGTGCATAATGATATTCTAGGGGACGCCTGGGTGGCTCAGTTGGTTAAGCATCCAACTCTTGGTTTCGGCCAGGTCTCGATGTCAGGGTCCTGGGATGGAGTCCTGCGTCGGGCTCCACACTCCGCTGGGAATCTCTTTGAGATTCTCTCTCCCTCTCTCTCTGCCCCTCCTTCCACTCACATGCACGATAGATAGATAGATAAATAGATAGATAGATGATAGATTAGATAGATAGATAGATAGATAGATAGATAGATAGATAAAATCTTTCTAAAAAATGATGTTCTAGCCAGGACTAAAGTCTGGAATAACAGCAGAACAGCAGAAGGTAGAGGAGCAGAAAGTTTCCGAAAAATCTTTATGGAAGGACAATTACAAACTGCCAAAAAAAGAAAAAGTTTCTATTTTAACCCTGTAGTACACTTTGGGGTAACTCCACCAATGAGATATCAGGAGTGTGTGCACATGCACATACACACACACATATAAGTTTATTTCTTACTAGTGTATGAGGGAAAGACTATGGTAATGCCCTCCATGTAGATTTAAAACTTGAGGTTAGTTAGGATAGTGCATATGTTGACTATCACATGGTTATTAAGTACATGGATAGCCTCATAATACTATCTTAATATGAAAGAAAAAAATTAATGCAGATCCCATTAGTAGAGCAAGTTTGGGAGAGACTGAGGGAAAAACGGGGATGGTCTGTATCGCATAAAAAGCCATTGCTTAAATGTTTGCAGAATTTGCCCGGATGGCTCATCTGCTTCCATGTGGCCCAGCGGCCACAGGAGACCTCATACACTGCCCCCCGCCCCCACCCCCCGGCGCCCTGGCCCTGTTCACTTCTGAGCTGGTCATTCAGCTTCACCCCTTACCCTCTTTCCTGCTTTCTTCCAAGAGAGCCTCTTCTCGGTCGCTGACTGGCAGAGCTTGGGTTGAAACACAGATCGAGTGTCTACAATATGCCTGGCACCGTGCAGGGAGAAAGCACCCAAGTCCCCTCTCGGGAGCTCACGGACCAGGAGGGGGACAGCCCTCTCGGTCACAGAGCGAGATCTGTGACCGGGGCTTCAACAAACCCTTGCAAATTCCCAGTGGAGAGATACTGCTTAGCCAGCTGGGAGAGCCAGGAAGGCTTCCTGGAGTTGGTGACGCCTGTTTTCTAACGGGAGGTCTGAGGCTTGGCTTCACTTGGGCAACCCCAGTGTGGTGGCAGCTGGAGAAAGTGTGGCCATAACAAACCACAGGAATGTATGGAATGAGCACTGGGGAAGGCTGACCGTGGGCAGTCCTCCCTCTCAGGGCGCCCCGGAGCAACCCTAGGTAGAATTTTAGTGCCTGCGGGCCATGTACACGGCTGATTTCTATCTACCCCTCGCAGAGCCTCAGTGGGCTCTTCTGCAAAATGCTTTATTCATTTCCCAGC